CGAGTGGCCTCCCAGCAACCGGTACCTCCTCCCTTTCGGAGGGAAACATCATTGCAGGCTCTGTTATCGTCCGCACAGGCCCTAGACCCAGGCTACTTGGACTGTTACCGGCCTACCTCTAACCTACCGCTACTGGGCCTCTAAAAATGCCAACTTTTTGTCTTCTTCTGCTCGGCCTCCAGTACCCGACACTTCTACCACTACTTCAGTGGTACCGGCCTACCTGCTACTTCAGTGTTTTTCCCCTCTGCTCCAAGTGTCGCGGGCCTACCCTCGCTACTCGAGTGTTTTCCCCCTGCAACCCTTCACAGTCACGGCCACAGGTAAGTACCGGCCCTGCGGGGCCGTGCAACCAACAAGTGCCCTTGCTGGTCACACACACACTCAACCGTCAAGCACTCAGACAGGCATGCAAACCAGCAGGCGCGCACACACACACAGACATGGAAATCACAGCAGAATGCGGGAATTTCAACAAGGCATTCATTCCAGCGGCAAATCCCAGAAATCAGCAGTGTTCTCAGTCTGTGTTTTTGGCGGGTCATTACAGATATAGATGGATTTGGCAAAAACAAAGTCTTGAAGGGTAGACAAACATGAAAACCAATGACTGATAATATATATAACATGGCCCCTTTCCCAGCACGTGCTGCTCCCCACGAAGAGACTGAAGCCTTGTTTCTCAGAAGAAAAAAAAACATATAATACCAGGTTGTTTTTTCCGTGCAGTCTATATAATAGCATTATATAGATGGGTATCTAATTTTTCATAGAGTCTGACACCTGCCCGGTGATGGAAGGTGAAAAGGAGAAGTGACATAAGTTTTGAATGGAAGCCCCAGTAAACGGCAGCAGTAGCTCTAACTCCAAAAAGGAAAAAGAAAGTTTCAATCTTTGGCAATGTTCAGTGTTTGAGCACGCAACAAAGTGAATTTGGAGCGACAACTCACCCTGTCTTCCTCTGACCGACAGGCTTCTGTGCGATAAGCAAGTCGTAACCAGAATGCTTCGTTGAAGCTCAGAACATTCTCTGCGATCGCCTGGGTAAGCTGCAACACCAACACGCATCCCCCACCCCCATGCATTCCCACACTTGTCAATCTTTTGGATGGAGTCAGGTTGGGCTGGGTCTGGTTGGGTTGGGTTGGGTAGGGTTGGCCAGGGGGGGAGTTGGAGTTGGGGTTAGGGTTGGGGTTGGGGTTGGGGATTGGGTCAGGTTGGGTAGGGTTGGGTAGGGTTGGGCAGGGGGGAAGTTGAAGTTGGGGTTGGGATTGGGGTTTGGGTTGGAGTCAGGATTAGTTGGGTTGGGTTGGGTTGGTTTGGGTGGGGTTGGGTTGGGCTGGGTTGGGTTTGGGGTTGGAGTAAGTCGGGTTAGGTTGGGTTGGAGTAAGTTGGCTTGGGTTGAGTTGGGTTGGGTTGGGTTAGGTTTGATCGAGTCGGGTTGGGTGAGGTGGGGTTGGGTTGGGTACACTGTGAAAGTCGATGTCGGCCTCCTGAAGCTACTGTAGTAAGGAGGGTTGGTTGGGTTAGGTTGGGTTGGGTCGGTTCAGGTCAGGCTGGGTGAGGTGGGGTTGGGTTGAGTACACTGTGAAAGTCGAGGTTGGGACTCCTGAAGCTACTGTAGTAAGGAGGGTTGGTTGGGTTGGGTTGGGTTGGGTTGGATTGGACTGGGTTGGCTTGGGTTGGGTTGTGTTGGGCGTGCTGCGGATTTCACGTTTTCTTCCAAAAGCCTCGCCGTCTCCTCCAATACACTATATGTAACCATGATCGGGGCGCACGTGCGCCGCAGTCACAGAAGAGGATCTCTATTCGTCAACAACTAATGATGCCATCAAGGTTCTTTGTCAAGGCAGCTATGATCTTCTGTGTTTTGCTCAGATTAGTTTTCCGTACGCCGAGCCACTTGGCCAGGGGAATTTCGGTTTTTAGTACCTCTTGTCGCTTCGCCAGGGGAATCTATGCACTGACTTGCTGGTGGAGAATGGTCTCTGCTCCTTGACCTGTTTTTTTCTTAAGGTGACTATAATTTTATTGTCGTCGACAAATGGTGCTTATCTGTACGTCGTTTTGGATGTGCGCTTAGCTTTCTTAGCTTTAGGGTTTAGGGTTTAGACTTGTTTTGATGGTGAGATACTTTGGGTTTCTTCAACAGATTTCGACTCTCCTACTTTTCGGGCGCCGTTTACATTCATTCTGTTGGCACTATTCGTCCCTTTCTTACGCTCTGCTGGGCCTGTCTACACTTGTTTTGATGGCGAGATACTTCGTTTTTCCACTGCTTTAGACCTAGGCTACCAGAGTGTCACGGGTCCACTTGCCCGGTCGGGTCAAAAAAAAAAAAAAAAAGTGAGGGTTTATGCCTCGGCATAGGGCCCTGCAGCAGGCGCGTGCCCGCCCTAAGTGAAGGCGGGGCCCCTGAATCTCAATGCGCCCTGAACTCGTCAATTTTTGCAAATCTTGGTCAGCACCAGACAGTTGCCACGCGCCAGTTGGTTACATCCGCCTGGCTCGTGAGAATCCAAAATATTTGTGAGCCTTCCAGGCTCTTCCAGCAATGTGGTCGAAGCAGGGAGCACCGCACGTTTGTGCATTGGTGGTTGGGCATGCCTAACCAATTCGGTCCCAGGGGACGGTCCTGGGCACAGACACTTTGGCCGAGACTGAAGCTATTGGAAACTCGGTCTCACGTGGCAGGGAAGTGGAAAGCGCCCCCCCACTTTCCATATAGGAAAGGTTGGGCTCCAGTTGACACATTCGGGCACTTGCAATTGCGGGCGGCAGCGCTGCAGGACCAATCGCTCGCGGGCTGCTTGCTGCGCTAGCGCGGGTGCTGCGTGCACGCGCTGACGTGCAGGGTGAAGGGCGCTGCTGAGGGCAACGCCATAGCCAGGCTTGGGTTGGGCATAGCCAGTGGAGGAGGTGGTGGTCTTGGTGCATGAGAGGGAAGACGTGGGTGGTAGAAGTCGAGGGTGAGACGTGCAGGGTGAAGGGCGCTGCTGAGGGCAATGCCATAGCCGGGCTTGGGTTGGGCATAGCCAGTGGAAGAGGCGGTGGTCTTGGTGCATGAGGGGGAAGACCGGGGTGGAAGAAATCGAGGGTGAGTGAGAGAGAGATGAGGTTGTGATGTGGGGGCACATACCTGGTCTTGGCGATGGTCTACAAGGTCGACATCTTCACGTACTACGGTTGTTGCTGCTGACGTCAACAGGATGCATTGTCAATTCGTAGGCTGCTAGTAGCTGTGTGATCGTAGGCTGGGCGCTGAGCGCCAAGTAGGAGGAAGGGCTATGGATATGTATGTCGGTGGTGGCGAGAGTATGCTCTCATTGACATTCGGATTCGGTGCTTTGGTTCTCCGTTGGTGGAATATAGGTGCATTTCTGCTTTCTGAACAGCATTGGACTTGCTGGCTTTCAATGTGATTTTCAAATTTTGCACTCTGGATTTCTGTCATTTCGCTATGGCTCATTTTCCTTGCAAGAATAAAAAATATTTTTTTTATAAAAAATTTGTATTTTACATTTGGTAAAGAGTTTCGATGTGACCCTGAGGCAAAAGTTGTTCAGTTTATTTTCTGCATAACATTTTTTTTTTTTCGGATTTTTTCGATTTTTTTTATTATTGTTTTTTTTGTGCTGGGAACTTCCCTGGTCCTTGCACGGGCAGGCCGCCCGGGAAAATAGGGTGACCCGGGCAACATGGCTGGTAGCATAGCTATAGACTCTATTACTTTTAGGGCCTGTTTACATTATTTCCGTTCGCGAGATATGTTTCTTTTTTGATTGATTCTGCTTTTCATTTGACCATGACTTGTTCAATGGATATGGAGTGGATGAGTGGTCGTAGTCGTTCTGTTGGCGAGACACATAAATTTGCCTTTCTTCCTGTTTTTGTTCTTTGGTTTAATCGTGATGAAGAATGACTGTGATCCTACTTAGGATTCTTGCTGGAGAGAGTTCTTGGGGTATGGTATAAGAGTTCGCTGGTCCTGTTTGGTAGTTTTACTGGAGTTAACGAAGTGGATGAGTGATAGTAATCCTACTTCGAAATGTGCAGTTTGCTAGGCTACCAGAGTGGCCCGGGATCACTTGCCCGGCTGGGCCAAAAAAAATAAAAATAAATAAAAATTGTTAAATTTTATTTTTTATTCTAAATTTGGTGAAGAATTTCGATGTGACCCTGAGGCAAACGTTGTTCAGGTTATTTTTCTGCATAACATAGTTGTTTTTCGGATTTCTTGGACTTATTTTATTTTATTTTTTTTGCTGGGACCTTCCCTGGTCCTTGCACGGGCTGGCCACCCGGGACCCGGGCGGCCCGGCTGGTAGCCTAGGCAGTTTGGGATTTCTTTTTTTTTTTTTTTTTTTTTTT